TTAAAATAACAATATAAAAACATATAGTTATATAGAGATATCAACCTTTTTATTTCTTTAATTTATCGTATAATCACAAACATTAACACCCTATGGTTTTTTTGTGCTAATTACTTATTTTTTGATGGGAATTTCTATTTGGGCGATTAGTTGGTTATCAGTAGAAAACTTTTTGTTGTTTTGCTTAATAAGTGCTTGGTTCTTGGCTTGTTCGGCTTTTAATAATAATTCTAGTTGCTGATTTTTAGTTTGTTCGCTGATTAATTGCTGTTCGGCTAATTCCTTATCATTGACCACTTTTTTTAAGTTGTTTTGTAAGTCAGTAATAGTTTTATCACGGCTGGCTAATTCTTGCGTTAGAAGTTTGTTTTTATCCTGTAAAGTTTGGTTTTTGGTTTCTAATAATTGGTGGTCAGAATTTTCCTCATTAGGGATAAAAATATTGACAGTCTGCTGAATACTGATAAATATTTGTCAATTATCTTTTAATTTTGGCTTTGGCAGTGCTTTTCCTTCTAATCACTGGGAAATATATCCATTTTCTCGTGGAGTTCCAGTATTTTTTCAATAAAGAGCGGTTGCGCGAACACTGGCATGACCTAAAACTCTTTGGAGAGTTGGTAAAGGCATAACATTAATGGCTTGGTAAGTGGCGAAACAACGGCGGAGAGTATGGGGAGTGAGTTCAATATTAGGAGCAATTTTTAAATCTCTTTTTACTTTTTGGAGAAAGTGTGCGAAAGAAAAACGATTAGTTTGCTGTGGTTCTCAATTATTTTTCTTTAATTCCTTAATAACTGCTGGGGAAACATAAATAGAGCGTTTTTTGTGTCTTTTGCCGTGAATTAAGTATAAGTTGTTGTTCTTTTTTAAGGATAAGTCAAAATTTGCTGCTTCGCTAACTCGCAAGCCTGATTGAGAACCTAATAAGAATAAGCAAAAATAGTTTTTGTTCCCTTGGTTCTTAATAAAATCTTTTACCTGATTAAGCAATTGGGGAGTTGGTAATTGCTGAGACATATTGATATTTT